ATCTAGAAGCCCCTACTTGAGTCCTAAAAGAAATGGGTCTACAAAACCATGAGCGAGAGCCTGTAAAACCACTAGACAAATAAGCCTTTCCTTTTCATGTGTTAATTACCTCGGGCACTTTGTTAGATGATGGAGAGCGTACTCACACAAATTGGGAACCTTCTATGGTAGTATCTTGCAAGATAACAGAGATTATTCCACCTATAATAACATCATTATTACTATAGGTGACAATTTTATTTACCAAGAATGGCTCCAAGTACCATTGCCAAGGCCAGCATGACCCCAGATCTACTGACTCCCAATGACTCTTCATTTATTTCAGAGGTGATTAGCTAAGTTAACAAGAAAAGAAGTCAACAAGAGAAGGCAGATGTAAGAGAGGGAGCAGGAGGAGGCAGAGAACGACTAGAGAGAAAGAAAAACATCTTTGTGAATTTGTCTGTTACTGTGTGTGTGCATGTGTGCATGCCAAGGCCTGCACTCTGAAGGACAAAGCCACCTGCAGGAGTCAGTTCTCTCTAGCTATATGGGTCACAGAGACTGAACACAGAGTGTCAAGTTTGGCTGCAAGTACCTTTACCTGCTGGGCCATCTTCCTGGCCCCACACTGCTTTTTGAAACAGATATCAATGGGCTTCTAACAATGACAATTTTGAGAATGTTCCCAAATTCTCACTCACGTTGGGACCCCAGCAATACCTTCACCCTGTCCCAAGGAGACACAGTCATGCCTAGGATCTAAGCAGATCTCTGCTCAGCTTACATGAGAACCCTGAAACAAGAACCTCACTTGGATTCCCACTTAGGTCCCTCTCTCTAAGCCTGTGAGAAGTAACTATGAAACCCCAGTAGTCAGAGACAAAGATTTTTCACTTTCAGATTTTTAGCCATGACAAAGTAGTCTTTGTGTGCCCACGTGTGCATAATCCACAGGAAAAGGCACTGATTGACAATGTTCACTGAACAAATGCCATTCTGTGGCTATGAGGACAGTGGTATTGCAGCCTTTGAAGAGACCCTTGGTAGCCACGGGGAGCAGTGAGATGTCTCTGCAGTGAGTGTCCCTTCCTCCCCTTCTAAATGGCAGCTATGAAATGCTGTCACTTCTCACCAGTACTCCATATGTTCAGTGAAGGCAAGCCAAAGAGGATAAGCAGCCCTGACCTGCTTGTGAAGATGAAGTGTTAGATCTGGTTACTTCTTGTAGCTTCTTTGTTGGTTTACAGTTCTAAGGTGTGAGCTCCAGAAATGGAGGTGGAATCGGGGTGTGGACCAGGACACTTCGTGGGTAAGATCAGGGACATTGCTTATACGGGCTCAGGGGATTTTTATAAAGGGACTGCGCAGCAGCCCATTTCCTTAGTACTAATAACGCTGTCTTCACACTCTCACTTCCTGGAGGCTCTCAGAGGGTGGCCAGGGTTCTTGGGGTGTTTACCCAACAGTACATGCCATGCAATCAGCATTTGTGCCACACCAGTCACCATCCTAAGAGAATTTTCCCACTTAACATGAACATTTAAAGGTAAATGTTATAAACCCCACTTTATAAATTCTAGAAGTGAGGTGTGCTAGCTGACTTTCATTTTCAACCTGAAATGGCCTAGTCTTTTATGAAAAAAACATTCTCACAGTGGCTCTCAACCTTCCTAAGGCTGTGACCCTGTAATATAGTTCCTCATGTTGTAGTGATGCCCAACCATAAGATTATTTTTGTTACTACTTCATAGCTGTAATTTTGGTACTATTATGAATTGTAATATAAATATCTGTGTTTTCCCATGGTCTTTTTTTTGGGGGGGAAGGGGTGTCAGGGGGATCCCACAGGTTGAGAATTACTGTAAAAGCACCTTAGGGAGGAAGGAGTTTATTTCAGCTTGTACTTCCAAGTTACAATACATCATTGAGGGGGGTTGAAGCAGGCACAGATACCATGGAGGAATGATGCTTACCGGTTTGCTTGGCTACCTCTGTTACATAGCCCAGACCTACTTGCCTAGGGATAGTGCCACCCACAGTAGGCTGGGCCCTCTCACACTGATCATTAATCAAGACAATATTTCACAAGACAAGGCCACAGGTCAATGTGATCTGGGCAATCCTTCAGTTGTGGTTCCCTTTCTCTAGGTGACCCTAACTGGTATCAATTTGATGACAATGATGATAAATCTTAACCAACACAAAATTTATTTTTAAAAATGACCAGTTATTGAGGGTCATGCTGCTGAAGTTAGGGTGTGCATTTCCAAAAATCCTGCTTCTAACCAGATTCTGTTCTTTGCAGAAAACATGGTAAACCTAAGGAGTTGTGCTCAGCAGCCTTCCCACAGTTAGTGTTGTGATCGCTCTCTCTCTCTCTTCATCTCTCTCTCATGGGAACAGTCATTTTTACTCTGTAATTCTCCAGGGATTGAAGTTACCACCAACACCTGTTGCTGAGTTCTGGTACAGTCATTGTTCTTGGCTCAGCTTTCTTGTTCATCTGTTCCAGGTTGGGAATGAGGGCAAAGGGTGAGTTTATATGATAGTATTACTGGGAGGTGGTAGAAGATTGGGCCTCGTGGTAGAAAGTAAGTCCATTGGGGGCCCATTTCTGTCTCCTGCTGCTTCCTACCTGCCACAAATAAGCAGCCTTCCTCAAGCACATGATCCTGTAAGCATGTTATCCTTCTCCTCCTTAGGTGTGAAAGCAATGGGCCAGACAAACAGAGGCTGAAGCCTCTGAAACTGTGAGCTAAAATACATCCTTCCTTCTTTCAGTTATTTTTCTAGGGTATTTTGTGATAACGGCAAGCCTAATGTAGCTGTTCATGTGAGAAGCCACCAAGAGATGAAACCAAACAATCACAATAGGGAAGCTCAGAGTATGTGTTCAATAAACAATTAAAGGATGGCTAGGAGAAAGATGAACAGGAGCAGATAATACTGGCATTACTTTTTGATCCCAAACTGTAGCACTCCAAGGTTTGAATTAACCTACGATTTTTCTCAACTGAAGCATAACACTAAGATTGGCCTCTTACTTTCTTGAAACTTCAAACTGCCATGTTGAAGCAACAGTGGTGGGGGTAAGCATGCACGCGCAGCGCATCACCCCGACACCCCCAGAACTGACGTGAAAACAAGGCTGCAAAGAGGATCTAATAAAACCCCGGTGCCTGTGGTTGTTCCTACGGTCATCAGCCAGCACAGCAGTGATGCAGCAAAGGATCTTAATAAGCTGGAGGTGAGGGCTGTGGGCACCTCGTGAAGAGAGAGGGAGAGAGGGCGGTGAGAGGGGAGAGAGGGAGAGAGGAGAGAGACTAAGGAATGAAAATGAATTTACGCTTTGGTTCGAAGCTATATATGGACAATAAAAGAGAGAGCACAACTTGGGAGGGGGGTCTCAAACCACACTGTGAAGATTTGGAAACACCTCAAAAGTGGCTGACGCACCATCCCACATGCAACATACACACAACCGAAAATGCCAATGCAAATCTGCTTAAAGCATGCTGTGGCAGTTGGAACACTGAATATGTCCAACTACAGCCCCTGCCAGGGGAATGGCATTTCCGTCACACATGTGGCATCTTCACTCCCACTTGGGTGTTGGGTCTGATGCCGAAGGCAAACACACCAGGAGCCTCTGCGCCCCTCCCTCCGGTGTCCATGGGTCCAGTCAGCAGGGACGAGAGGCTGGCTGGCTGGGACCCTCGGAAACAGCAGGAGCTACCTGGGTTTTGCCTCCTTGACATTCCACACACACCTCATATCCCTTCCCTCCCGGCCACTGGGCCCCCAACAGATGACACCAATTTAGTCTCAGCACCTACAAAAGGTAGCCTAAGAGACGCCTGGGCAATCCAGACTCAGAAATGGAGGGCAGAGGCTGTAAAGGATAAATAAGCAAAAGCTGGGGTCGGAATCAGAGCCTGGCACTCACTAAAGACAAGACTGAGGGAGATAGTAGGTTTTAGCTAACCCTGGCCGGAAGAAGTGGCAAGGACGGAAAGCATCCGTCCTGCCTGTAATGGAATGTGAGCAGCTCAAAGACAATCTGCCCTTAAACATACTCCTTTCTAAAAGTTCGGATAGAGACCTTAACTTTTTTTGAGCATAGAATGAGGGAGAGGTGAGAAGCTGCAAATGTTGAACCCAATCGAAGCTTTGATATTGATTTGGAATACTGCTAAACTCTTTACGTATGGGCTACTAATAAATAAGACCTTTCTTCAGTGAGTAGAGCGTCGTTGCTTTGGCCAATTTGATTTCCTAAAGATTCACGCTTTCCCACCCCAGAGTAAAGTGCCGAAGAACTGTTTCAGGAATCAGGAGGAATTATGTAGTGTCCCGTTTTCCTCTCCAGGCCCCACACCTTCTGCCTGTTTCCAAATGATCTATTGTGGATATTTTCTGTGAAAACTTCTTTGAAAGAGGGTGCACTCCACCCTTGGTAAGCGAAGGCTGTTAATAGAGAGTACAAGGAGAATGAGAAATGAAATTACCCATGCAGGACACTGTAGGTAATCAACACGATCGGCCAAAAATAACTGAGATCCCTAATTATTCTGCAAACCAGGGACAAGATTAAGCCAACTAGGTTCAAGAAGATGCCTTAAACTTCCTTGGGGCGGGGGTTGGGAGGGCACGGACTAAGTCAAGTCTGTTTATCTCTAGTTTAGAAATCCCCACGACCCTCCCCCAAGAAGGCTGCATCTGGGCTGATGTACTAGTTCCAGACTCAGAGGCAAAAGCCCACCTGCCTGGTTCCACCCAAGGCTCTGGAGCAGGTGATCTGGCTTGCCTCATTCGTGCTCCCATTCCTCTCTTCCTGACTCCAAGGATCCCAGCCCAGCAAGGTGTTATTCCAGGGGGCTGAAAACCAAACTGCCCCTTAAAAGGAAAACAGGGGAGCGGGCTAGCATTATATAACAATATACACCAGAAAACGAAAGTCGCCAAAGTAGGCGCAGGGGAAGGCGAGGGGAGCAAGGCGTCTAGAAATCAGCACTTACTCGAAGGCGAAGAAGAGTCCACTAGTGACCAGGATGAGGATGAGCGTCAGGTAAAAGACGCCGGTCTGCCGGGCCATCATGATCCTCCCGTTGCAAAAGAACTTGTTTCTCCCCGGGAACACCTCCCATTTCCTCCGGGCCGCGATTTTCTTCTTCTTGTGGGGCGACTCCATGGGGGAGGAGCTGTGGGTGCTGATCTGACTGTACTCGCAGTCTTTCATGGGCCCGCCGCCGCCGGGAGGCATCCACGAGGGCAGCCGGCTGGGGGCGCACACCCCCAGAAGCCCCCCGGCCGCGCGGGTCCCGCCGAGCCACGGCCGCCGCCAGCCACCCGGCCGCCCCCCGAGCCGCGGCGCTGTGACCCCTAAACGGGTTCCCGGCTCGGCGACAACTTTACCGAGGACACCCAGGTTAACCCCTTGGAGAGCCCAGCTGTCATAGCAGAACCCGCTTTCAAGGGGGACAGTGTTGGTCCGCAGTCCGTGGCAGCGGTTCTCCGTGACTTCCAGACCGCGAATCGGGGCTGCAGGACCCCGCGGGGCGTGGGGGACCGCTCAGCAAACCCCCAGATCGCGGTGCGCTTCGCCCCGCCACCCGCAGGCTCCGGGCTGCGCCTGGGCTCCGGCCCGCGGATCCCCCGTCGCCGCGCCCAGAGCCGACACGAAGCAGCGGACGGCTCCCTCCCTAGCCACTTCTGTGCCTCGGCCAGGTGGAGGCTACTCTTTCCCGGCGACGGATCCTCCCTCGGAGAGAGCGCTGCAAACTGGGCGGCAGCTCGCGGCACCGGCAACCCCTCCCAGGGGTGGGACAGCCACGCGCGTTATTCTGCCGGGAGCTGCTCGGTGAGAGCCGGGGCGCTGCCCGCGCTGCGACCCGGTGTCCACGGAGCCGAGCAGCCGCGCTGAGTCCGCGGCCCCTGCGCGGAGCTCCCGGGCGAAGGTGGTGGTGGCGGCGGCTCCCGGGGCTTCTTCGGTTCCTTCTGTCCGGAGGAGCCAGTCCCAGCGCGACGAGGGCCGCCGGAGGGCCGCGGGGACACTGCCAGAGACACTTGTTTGCAAGGCTCAGCCCCGGCGCGCGCTCGGCGCTCGGAGCAGGTCCGCCTCCTCGCGGCCGGGTGGGCGGCGACGCCCGCGCCTCACAGCCGGGCTCCTCCTTCCGCTCCTCCTACTCGCCAGCAAAGCCAGGGCACCAGCTCCCCCGGGCTCCTGCCCGAGTCCCACCGCGCCAGGGCGCAGGGCTCCGGGGCTGGGAGGGCCTGGCGTGCCGCGGGGAAGGTGCCTGGCTCCTGGCGACATCCTTCGCCCCGGGAGCGTTCAGGTCGTCGCCCTCGGTGCCGAGGCGCCAAGCGCTCCCGGCCGACTTTGGTCCGCCACCGGCTTCTCCACGGGATTATTCCCGGCAGCAGCTGCCGCCTCCGGACACACGCATCCTCGCGGCCACTCGAAAGACCAGTCTTGAAATGATCAGGGACCTGAGTACCCTCGGCGCGGAGAAGTGACCTTCCCTGGCCTGCCCCCGGCTCGTCCTCTTCCTCCCCTGCGCCACGCGTGGCTGAGACGCTGGGAAACTCTACTGATGCCCAGAGGAGGGGGTGGAGTGCCTGATGACAGGTTGATGAGCAGCGGCCCGAGGCAGGCCAGGCTTCGGGACCTCGAAGGGCAGGGGAACGGCAGAGCGGTCTGTATCCGCTCCAACAGCGACCAATCGGGTCCCTCTTTCGGATTGAAAGCCCCCAGTGGCAGGCTTTGTTTGCCTTCCCCGCCTTTCATTCTCCACTTTTCCCCCACTGATGGCTCACTATGCGCTCATTTTACTTCTGTCTCCATCCCCCTTGTGGAGCCCCCACACAGTAAAGGGACCGCAAGTCTAGCGAATGCTTGGAATGCTCCTTTATCTCCATCCCAGCCTGACATGCGGGCACAAGTCCGACTCCAGAGAGCCCCATCCTCCTACGCGCCCCTGCGCCACTTGGCTTCGCGGCCCGGTAGTAGCGCTAATTCAAAGTGCACTAAGGTGACCGAGAGTGGAAAGGAACCGGGAACGGATTTCACGAGCCCTACTTTCTTTTCGGAGCCCGCTGGGATATGTAGTTCCTTCTCCCGCTACCCAACTCTGGGAGGAAACGTGACCTGAGGACCTAAAACTACAAATCCCTGCATCCCCTGCGACGAAGGCGGGGCGGTAAGGTACTGGGCGTTGTGGAGCTCAGGGTTTGGAGAGCAACAAAGACAAGCTTTGGGAAAGGTGCTTTCCAGTGCGTGATAGGCACGTGCGTACACTGCCCAGGTTCGCTGTGTAATCCTCACCACAAACCCGCGAGGCACTATTGTACCCAGCTCAAAGAAGCTGCTTGCCTAACACTACAGAGCTGCCCAGTGATAGAGATGGCACTGAACCCAGAGCTGTTTTTCCCTCACAAAGCACGCCTCAGTGCTCTGTGTCAAAGGGAGATTAGCTTGACTACCCGAAAGAGTAAAAGGATGCAACCAGCTGGGAAGTGGTGGGAATAGAAATGGTAATTAGATAGGACATGGAATTACAAGAAATTAAAAGCAAATTCAATTCTTAGGGGCCGGATAGGACTTTTTATTTGTTTGGTGAGTGGATGCGTGCGTTTTTGAAACAAGTTCTCACTATTGTAGCCTAGGTTAGTCTCCAGTTCCCGGTTCTCCACTTGAGCCTTCTGCATGCTGGGATTACAGATATGTTCCACCACTTCCAGCTAAGGATCTTAAATGGGCAACTGGAATTAGCCTTGAATTATACGGGATATTGTATGACAGGCAGGCATATTACAGAGACAATTAAGTGCTTGGTAACTGTGCTATTTTTAAAAACCAACCAACTGGCACTTCTCTGGCATTAGAAGTTAAAGCTTTTATGCTTTCCTATCCTTTGGCTGATGTGATCAAGATGTTATTTTGCCAAAAACACATGTTAAATCTATTGTCTTGGTGGCTTTAGAAATCACCCTCTTGGCATTGGGAGTGTAGCTCTGTGGTAGAGTACTTGCCCATTCTAATTCTCAACTATACTGGATTTTCCTGGCATCTGGCACTGTTGAAAAGTCCTTATCCTTTAGAGATGCATACTAAAAGTATTTGCAAGTGAAATGACAGAAAGTTTAGATTGTGCTTTTAGACACTCAGCCCGTCCACCTCCCACACACAAGGAGATAGAAAGAACAACTCTGGGAACCCTTGAAAGGTGTTGACATTCTGTGACAAAACTGTGTTTAATTATCCATTGCTGCAAATTGTCACAAACTTGGGGAGGGGTTAACACAACAGGTGTACCTCACAGCCTCTGTGGCTCAGGTATCCAAGTCTGCTGAGTCCTCTGCCCACATTATCAGGGTGTAGACTAGGCTGTGTTCTCATGACCTGAGGAGGAATTCACTCCCATGCTCATTCAGGTCTCCAGCAGAATTCATTTCCATGCCTTTGTAGGAGAGCATCCAGCTTCTTGCCAGCTGGTCCCTGGGAACTGTCCACAGCTCCCAGAGGGCATATGCTGGCCCTAAAGATCACCTGTAGTTCATGATCACGTTGGTATTTCCCAGAACTCATTAAACCAACAAGAAAAGTCTGTCAGCAAGCAGGCTATCTATATTAGAGTCAAATGAACATGTTTTATTAGCCAGAAAGCCCATCACAGCTTGGAAAGTGAAGGGACCATTCAGGGGTGTGAACACTTGGGCCACCAAAGTGTGGAAGAGGGTCCCTCTCATCCATCATGTGTGCTTATCTTTATATTTGACATTTCCATGTAAAAAGAAAGGAAGGATTTGTTTTAAAATTCTATCTAGGGGACAGAGTGGAGAGATGCCTCCGCTGTTAAGAGTACTTCTGCCCTCCTGTTAGCTGTACAGCATCATCATCCACCTCAAGGAAAGATCCCACTGTCTTTGGCACTTAGAGCCAACAGCTACCTTTCTTGCATTGTTGGTGGTAGCTGGAATGCCAGTGGCCTTTCTCTGTTCTTGGCTGACTTGGTGGACTTGCTGGCAACAGCAGTTGTTTTATAAACAAAAGTAGAAGTTTGTTTCTTTCATCTGAGCAGCTCAAAGCACTCCAGAAGCCTCCTCATTAGTTCTCAGAACACCTTCAGGCAGCCAACAAGGAGGACGGCCCTAGCCACTGAACACATACCTTGTGCTTTCCTGGGTGCACCTCTCAGGGCCAGCATGGGCCTAAGACCAAAGAAACAGAGTCCTAGGAGAACTCTAAGAAACTTTGAAATAAATTCAACACAGCTCACTCCAAATAGAATCCTGCAGAAAACCAGACACCATTATTCTTTCCAACCCAGAGACTCTGCTCATATTTGTGTGCATGCTTAGCATATCTAGAAACATTTGGTATCAAAATGCAAAACATTTGAAGCAATATGCTTAGGACACCAGAAAACCAAAATGAGGTAAGGTAGAAAAATTTTAATGTGAAAATTTCCTCCAAAAATTTTAAAGCCATTTTCTGTCCTTTCACACAAAAAAGATATTGCTTCAATGTTTATAAGATAACGTCACACATTGAAAATTGGTAACACATGTAAATGTAAAGAATGTAGATTAAGCCAGGTGGTGGTTGCTCATGCCTTTAATCTCAGGACTCAGGGAGGCAAAGGCAGGTGAATCTCTGTGAGTTCAAGGCCAGCCAGGTCTACAGAGTGAGTTCCAAGACAGCCAAGGCCACACAGAGAAACCCTGGCTCAGGAAAATAATAATAATAATAATAATAATAATAATAATAATAATAATAATAACAATAATGATAATGTAGATTACTCCATCCTGGTCATTCCAATTATTTCACATATAGACAGATATGTACACTTTCCTTTTAACAAAAATTGGAGTCATTGCTGCCTGCCGTTTTTATCTTGTGTGCTCTTGTGTAATGTGCATCTGTGTTTCTGTGAGTACATACATGTATATGGAAGTGTCTACATGTATATGGAAGCCAGAGAGCAAGGGAGGAGAAGGAAGGGGGAGGAGAGAGAGAGAGAGAGAAGTTTGTATTACACTTTCACTTGTTACCTAGATAATATCTCTCTTTCCAGCTCAAGACCAGCCCAGAGTCACATGCTGAACTCTGTCTTCCCACTCAATCCTCTTTGATACAGAACTGCCTCCTTTCTTTGAGTTCCTTCATCTCAGAATCATGGAAGAGTATAGGTCATGCACTCTGTAAATGATCTGCTTGGGTTTGCCTACAGTTTCTTAACAGTCACATTCAAGGCTCCAGCTGTATGACACAGGAAATGGTGGCAGACACAGGCAAAGACACCATGTCCAGGCTACTGTGGCTGAAACTGCATGGTGCTATCACAGTTGGCCTGCTGCTTCTAGGCCTCCAGTACTCAGAATAAGCCCATGTGAATATGTGGTCATATACTCTCTGTCTGCACAAGCTGGGTAAATCGGGGCTGTGGCACAAGCACAACCAAACCTGGCACCCTAAATGTAGATGCTTGTTTTCGGAGAAATCAAAAGCATACACTCTATTTTCATGACGTGCAGAGATGCAAAGGCCCCAGGTGATGCTGTTGACAATTGTAAGGAGTGCAACAGCAGTACACATTCTGTGTGAAGGGAACACTCTTCTCTTGAGATCAAACCAGGGGAAGAGGTCAGGTGCACACAGCAAGGCCAGGGGCTTCCAATGGGAGCTTGGCGCTGGAGTTCTTCACACATCCTCTGCACAATCCACACCCACCTGCTATCCAAAGAGCAGAAACAAAACAAAGAAACACTTCTCCCTCCTAGAAACAGGCTCAGTCAGAGAGGAACCCTGGAGCACCCAAAGCAGATTACAGAAGTTCCACCTCTCATCTGTAAAGAATGGATCTGGGAAGCTGGTCATGGCAGCATCTCAGTATGTGGGAGGAAGAGGCAAGAGAATTGCTAATTCTTTGCCAGCAAGGACTGCATGAGAAGACTATTTCAGAGAGAAAATGAATTTGAGAAATGCCTATTACTACTTCTGGGTTGGTTCGAAACAACCCATGCCACTTTTATTTCTTCTCTGGATACTTGGAAATGACTG